TTTGTAGGTTAGTTGATTTTGTAACTGCAAGTATTCAGTCTGTAAAGAGGAGTTTCCTCTCAGAGAGCCAACCTGCTCTCTCGGAGGAAGAAATGGGGCAGGGAAACAAACAGCCACACACCTACCAACCCACCCACCCACCCATATGAACACAACACACTCCAACAAACAACTCGGGCTTATTATCTAATGTGTATACGTATTGACATATGCTATTATGTGGGGTCGTTCTCTTGATAAGAAATAAAAATATAAATGATCATATGGTTATTACACAAGTGTTTTCTTGTTTCCAAACAGAACAGCAACCTATAGATTTACTGGATATCTGAAATCCAGATAAAGGAGGTAGGATAGCGATATTATATTTTTAAATTAAGAAAAAAAAGTTGTTCTAACTTTCAGAGCTATTGGGCACTCTTCACTGCTTCCTCCAAGCTGAACCTCAACATATCTTATTTGTGGTGAAACAGCGTCTATGCTTCAAGCAACAGATGCATATTGGACAGCAATTTCCAAAGCATTAAGTTGAACATATAACTTGATCAGGAGTTGTTCTGTCCTACTTTATAAACGTTTCTACAAATTGACTACAAATATAATCTAGTGTTTGATTCCTTTGCTTTACTTTGACTAATTCTGCAGCATTTCTCAGTTTTTCTTCAGCAGGGTCAGTAAAAGGTTCCCGAGTATGTCTGGGTAAATAATTAAACCACTCGTAAATAGGTGGACTTGGCTTATCCTATCACTGGCCTTTGCACTGGACCCAACACTCAAAATCCACTAAAACAGAGCAGCAGCAGGAGGAGGAGCAGGGGAGTGATCAACAAAATAAAGACTGTGAGCTCCTTCCCGTCTAAACGCAGTTAGACTTTTTGAAAATGGCTGTTTTTATGTTTACTAATAATCACAATATTTGCTAACAGTTGTGATGAGAAAGTAGACCCTTAAATATGATTTTATCACAGTCCGGTGCAACCAATAGCATGCTATATTTTACTTGAAGCATGTATATTTTTCCCCTCAGTCTGTACTTTACCCCCTTCACTTCCCCAAAACATCATGGGTGACCAACTCCTGCACTGGGGTGGACCCTGATAAGATCTGATTGATTGCACCCTTGATTCTGCTTATGGGTCAGACTCTGTATTGATTGTCTGATTGATTCAGGTGAGGGAGGTGAAAAGGAGAACTACACAAGTTTACAGTGTCAACACAAGTATTTTTTCCTCTGAGTCCAAACAAAAAGTACACAGTTAAAAAACAGCCTTGCATGTGATTCAGGCATGGAAAAGCTTCACAGCCATTTGTCTGAGATCCCCTGCTTCAGTTAGTCGCCAACAAATTTTACAATTAGCTACACTCTGCTCAGCACCTCTTCTCTCTGTATGTCTGTATCACTCTCTGGGATGAGTCTCAAAACAATGATTAATGTGAAAGTAAAGCTTGGTGAAAGCATTCTTTAGGGATGTGTCCACTTTTAGGATGGGAATAAATATTTTTTCCTTATCAAAAAAAAAAAAAAAAAATGCAGGCAAAGCAAAAATATTTCCAGGATACTTGCTTCTTTGTTGTGCGGTCCTTTGGGTTCTTCATTCAGATCCAGCCAGAGTTTCAGGTCATAAATCCACTATGACTATGAACTGCTGAGACAGCTTTTCTGGATTAGCTTGAATTTCATCTTACTGAGGCTCTCAGTGAATTTAAAATGAACTTTAATGTTTTCAATTTGAATTTACTGAACAAAAAAAGGCAATTTTCAAAAAGGCATTCCTGTTTGTTTGTCATTTGGCATCCCATTTTATACTGTCTTTGCCATAGTTTGCGGAATTTGAGAGTGACCACTAATCTCAGCTGATATACCCAAGATATAGTGGTAAAAAATGTTTTTCACTTGCCTTTTAGGGCCCCAGCTGTGTGTGGGACGCTGGGATAAAGGCCTGGGCTCTCGCACCTTCACGCAGCTGACTGACCATGACGTAAACATACTCTGTGACGTTCAATTTGTCCTAAAATTTCCTTCCCCTGGGCACCCTCTGTGTTCACCGAACATGTGACAAATCATGTGACACTTGGCTGTGACCATGGCTTTTACTTCAGCTTTGTTAAAACTATTCTGACACCAGACGTCACCCTGCAGGTTTTCCAAAATTGTCATCTGACTGTGTTAATACGAAGGTCATGCCTATGTTTGTGAGTTTTCCCTCCTACTGTCCAACACTGCACTGAAAAACTACTTTAACAGCCACAGGTCTACAATATAGGAGATGTTACATGAGCTGTCATGACTGCTTTCTTGCATGGAAAATCTTGCTTTAAATTTGAAAATAATGACTGCTACTCACACAGGCTGCCCCGCATCAGTTCTAACTACTCAGTTTAGCCTGCACTTGTTTAAACTGTCCAGTACTCTCACACAGTCTTTCAATAACTTATTATCATTCAATATGTTGTATTTTATAGTACATAAATCACCAAAATATCAACATCAACAACAAATCCTGCACAGGTTGACTGAGTAAAACAATGTAAAATGAATCACATGGACGTCACATGGAGCCCAACCTTTATATTTCTAGTTTTTCAAGCTTGATGTTCTTCTCCAGCCTCTTTAGGGTGCAGGCAAATTGTGTGCTAAACTGCACAGAAACAATTTGTGTGCTTGATCATATTTGAGCTATTTGAAATGTTGAATTTGAAAATGATCTGTTTTCTAAGTTACTGAGTTTATGCTTCTTCCGGTGACGGTGGGGGGACATTGCTTAAATTTGTTGAGTTAGTATCTTCATAGCACATTGAAAATGAACCCATCTAGTATTATTGTGTAATGCAGCAGTCTGTCAGATGAGTTACTCAATAATCCTGGGTGAAAGGGAAGTTTTGAGCAATAATGAACTGATAATTAACAGACCTATAACAGATTCGCTCCAAACAAAGTGCAAAAAACATCGAAATGACAGTTGACTGAGGTGCATGTGGCCACCAGTAGGTCAGATGTCAACTGCAAGAGGACAGGACAACTTTCACGAGAACACAAACATTTTGTCACACAGCCAACAGACAGCGCATGTGTGAGCATGTGTGTGATTCTGGCCCAAATGGAACCTCATAAGTAAACAAGATGAGGTGCAAACAGGAAAACAGAATTAAAGTTTCACTCAATGGACAATGATTCATCTGATAAATGACCAGCACTGACAGACAGTCTCTTGAAACAGACTCAGATTGTTCCAAATAAAGTCCAGTCACATGTTCAGCTGACAAATTATAGGTATGTAAAGATTATTGAGGCACAAATATCAAACCTCTTTCAGAAAGTTACAGAAATTGTGAGACGTCTCTGCACCATCGTGACCATTTCAGAGCCACTGGAGCTGAAGCTTTGCCTTAAAGGCATTTCTGACATCCTGGCATGAATACTGTGGCAAGAAACAGGAGATAATTTAGGTATAAAAACACAACTAACTAACTATAAGAAATTATTTGCCAGCATGTCAGTATGGATGAGTGACAGTGTATGTGGAAATGGAAAGAAAGAACCCCGTTGGCTGACAACGCTATTCAGTGAGCCAATCAGTTACAGGAAAATATGTAATTTGCGTGCCCAGACGTGCAAACACACACCCACGTGTCTAGTTTGATATCCTCCAGTAAACTCCTGCAGGACAAAGTGCAGCATATCCAAAACAGACAATTAGACCCATGATTTTCTAACATTGTAGTGGAACAATACTGACAGACACTGACATGCAGTTTCTGCCACTTTTAGCTGCTGTGTAAATTAGCATTTTGTCCCAAACTGGAGTGCAAAAGTTATGGTCCAAATGAAGAACGCTGGAGGCAAACTTAACAACAAAAACAAAAAAGTCATATATGAGGCCGTAAACACAGCACAAAATAGAGAACACAGAAAAAACAAAGCAATAAACAAACAAACACAGGAGATCACAGAGTGACTCAATCACAGAGAGAGGCACAAGACACTGAGACAAGGGAAGACAGGACTATTTATACACAGAGGGTGATTAGGGAAGTGCTGAGGGAACCAGCACAAGTGCGGACAATGGAGGAGGAGTTGGAACAGGTGGTGACCAGGGCGTGATGGTTCTGCAGTGATGTTACCTGCTTATTTTCTGACTTCCTGGTTTTTATAAACCCTAAATTTGCAGTGATTTTTCTGCACACCTCATTTACCATTGTAGTCTGATTGAGCAGAGAAGAGATGGTATTATTGTGGAGTAGAAACTAAAAAAATTGTAAGCAAGGCACAAGAGACAGCTATCTAATAAAATAAAACAAAACAGGAAATGACCCAAAAGATAACTAATAAGCATAAACGCGAGAAACGAACACCTAATGTAGCGACTACAGAAAAACAAACAAAATGTCGCTGAGAGTTCGAGGTTGGGTTTTGTTGACTTTGTCTGACACGCTGCCAAAAATATCCTCTGTTGGTCCAGCAAACACAAAAATGATTTATTCAATGAAATTCAACTCATAATAATGTGCACAAACTATATTCAAAATAATCACAGCAACCAAAATGAAATAGTGGTGAACAAAAAAATATGGACACACCCAAGAGTCTATATAACTCCACCCTTCTGACCTGGTACCTTCTTACCACCAGCCTGAGAACAAAGAACCTAACAGAAAGTCATCCATCCATTAATCACTCCATCTGTCAAATCTACCAAATTACCACTGTCAGATGCTTTGGTGAATAGAGACTTCCTTTACATTCGTCTGTTTGTTTCGTTGCACAATTTCTGCTCAACTTTCATGTAAATGTTGTGCTTGAGTCGAGCTTTGTGTCTGATTTGTGTCTCTCCAAACCTCCAGACTCACGCTTTGTCAGTCATATTTGCGTCTCTGAGCTCTGCTGTGGTCCATCTCTTCTCCTCTCCTCTCCTCCTGTGCTGCATCGCTTTGCCTCGTGGCCGCCCGCCACTGATGATGCTGAAGCTGATGTCATCACCGCCTCCCAGCATCCCTGGCACAGCTGCACCGCCATTTTCCCTGCTTTCAGACTGCCTGACGGACAGACTGACGGCCGGCCGTCGGAGCATCCCGCACCCATCCTCCTGTTTATCCGTGCGGCACCCCGCTCCTCCCTCCACACCACTCCACGTCTCCCACTCTTTTCTAACTGACGCACCGCTGCTGAAGCTGAGGCACGGCGGATTATCCATGTATGGGTGCGTGAGGGGGAAATGATGCTGTAGGCTAACCAAAGGATAGAGCGAAGGACCAAAATACGAGCTGCAGAGGAGAATCGGAGGAGGCACCAGAGGATCCTGCCGCTGTTTTGAATGGGAAGGGGGATCCACCATTTGCGGCTGTCGAGTCTGAGTTGCTGAGGTAAGACACGGCGTGTTTTTTCAGGGCAATAATGGGTGTCACGCCTCGGTGAGGACAGGGTATTTTTGCGTGTTGGTCATTTCGAGGCTTTTGTGCGCTTAAGAGACGCTGCGTCAGGGTGTTTGGGGTATGATTCTGTGTTAAAAAAAAAAAACAATCAAAAAACACAAATCTGCCATCTTACTGAGTGAATTGGACGAGCAAAGGCGTTGATAAAGGCTGGGACTGTCATGTAAGCTGTAATAATGTGTGCTGACCTCCTTTCTGACGCAGTCTGGGATGAATTGGTGTCTGAGCTGTGTATGTTTACGCGGCCTGTCGTCGAGGTGCGGCAGGCACAGCAAGATGGAGGAGACATTATTTACATGGCTTAGGAAATATCCAGGAAATGTCATCGGTTAAAATTCTTCTCATCCTCAAATTTATAACGTATCAATAATGGCTTATTGTTTGGATGTTAAGCAAGATTTCCCCCCTTGTTAATCGACTGGGGCTTGGATGTGACGGTGGATGTTCGGTGTGCTGTCTGGAAGCAATGATACGTTTATAAATTATTGTAAATTAGCTCATTAACTAAGAAAAAAATTTGTAGGGGTTAGGAAGAAAAATAAAATGGAATATCGAGCTTATTTTGGAAGGCGCAGTGAGAAGCTCCTCATATTTCAGGGTTGTGCATTATTTTCATTGATTTGAAGCAGTCAGGCCTTCATCCATGGCTTCCATTGCTGGAAGGGAATAAGCAGCCATTTTACTGTAGAATTGCAGAGACGCTGATGATCATCCTGCCAAATGTTGGTCCAGCCATTTAGTCAGTAGGAACTGGGTGTTTCTGCCTGAAGACAAACTGACTGTGATTCAGGGCCTAAAAATGGAAAATGGTGTCATGTGTATGTCTCATCTGTTTGTGGCTAAGAAAGCTGCATCACCATTATTAAAAAAACAAGAACAAAATGACAAAAAAACAAGTCAGAAATATTAAAAGATAATGTTTAATTCCTGGATTAAATTCTATAATATGGAGTCTTAATGATTTATGGTGTCATATGTGCTGTCACTGCTAATGAACTCCTCTGTCATTGTCTACCTGTGCAGGTGCCAGGTGCGCACTGGTAGCCACGGGGATCTCCAGCTCTTCTGCTCACTCACACGTAGACCTGCAACATGGCGGGGGCTTCCGTGAAGGTAGCGGTGAGGGTCCGACCCTTCAACTCCAGAGAGATCGGGAAGGAGAGCAAGTGCATCATTCAGATGTCTGGGAACACCACGAGTGAGTATACGAGAGTTCAGCTGGTAGCGCCGAGACTTTTCAGTGAAGATTTAGTCAGCTTGACTTTAATGTTTGAGAGTTTAAGTATGCCTTTTAACTGAGAGAGGTGCTTAAAATGTAGTTATTATGCAAACTTATAAAGTAGATTTACACATTTCAAGGTTAAAAATAATCCTTATTTATCTTACACTAGGTGTCAGTTTATCTGCTTTCTGAAACTACACATTTTAGCTCATTTGCCTTAAAGCCAGCCTGTGAGGTCTGAGTCATCATAACCCTAACTCTATGAAAATATAATTTGTTTGTCTGTGTGTGTTCTCCCCAGTCTTGGCAATCAAGTAAAAAAACAAACAAACCCCAAAACAGTTCTTCTAACCGACAGCCATCCACTATTCACATTTGTTCCAGAAGAGTCATTTTTCTTTTCTCCAAAATACAGAATTAGGGTTGGGTGAACGCTTGACTCATCGCCAATGATGATGTAGATCTCGGAGGGTTAAGTCCACCCTCCCTTTTAACCCAGCTTTCTTCTGATTGGCTGCCCCTCGCAAAATAAAAGGTTGGAACAGCAAGTGGATAAAGTATCTTTGCTCACAGCCTGTGATGACCAAATTCAGACTATCCCCTTTCAATGACATCATACAGAGCCAAGAGTAAAAAAAAACTCTCAGCTCTGGTGCTCTTTATTTGAAACTGTATCCACACGAGCATCCAGCCATGTAAGAGAATATGTATGACCAAAAAAATAGGTAAAAGCATTAAAGACCCACTTTACTGAGGATCTAACACTGAATATGTTGACCCAGTGGCACTGCTTTAATTGAAGTTTACCTCAATTACTTAATTATTCATTTCCTCATTGACATTTTGATTAATTAACTTTTATAGTCCTCTTTAAAAAAAATAAAAAATCAAAGCCCTCAGGTGTAGGTGTAGAAATGCAGCATGAGGTGGAGACTTAAACCTGTGGTTCACTTAGACTGAAAAGCACCAGAGAAGCACTGTGATGTGCATTTAATCTTTGTGGCCTTTTTTGTGGAAAAAAAGACAAATTATTATTAATTGCAGAATATTTACATGTGTTTTGTCTTAAAGATCAGTCGACTGAAAGCTCTATACTACATAACCACCAACTTTAAGTCAAGTTGTGTAATTTTCCAGGACAAAATACAAACAGAATACTTGGAAAAATGCTGCAATCTCTAAAACAAAAATCCCTTAATGTAAGAGATTAAAAAAAGCATTCAGCATTTCTGACTAGTTTGTATGAGGTGTTTATGGAGCATTTTTATTCTGTTTGTGCTTCAGAATAACAGGCTTTGTGTAAATGTAGGCATAATTAATAACACGAAGAATATTGAATATTCATTTTTAATTGGCCTGTAGGATAAGGCTGTTCTTAGCTTCTTAATTTTACAGTAAACTGATTATATAGCGCTCTATTTTTTAAACAGACAGAGCATATGACACGTGTTTATGTGAATAATTACAGCAATTCGATTCAGTGATTACGAGGTTGCGTCTGAGGTGCTTCATTGAAAGTCTGAGTTGTGTTTAAAGTGATCCTCTGATGCTGTTTTGGTCTCATTTCTGTGACCCACTTTGAAGCATTTTTAGTGTTTCACCTCGTCTCGCGGGCTGCATTGTCCTGCGGCGATATAACAGCGGGCAGGGAGGCATGCAGCATTTTGGCAGCTCGAGAAGGAAACAAAAGCTTCAGTCAGGCCTGAAGCCCGTCAGTGTGTGTAGGACGTAGCGACAGCCGCAGCTCTCTTCTCTCATCACACGAGCTGCATGGACCAACAAGGGCCTGTTGTTCTGGTCGAGTCCAGACCCGAGGTCAGCTGATATAAGGGTGCAGGAGAGAGCAGGGGCATGTCAGCCTGCTGTGCCTGTTTTTAATGACCTCATTAAAAGCCAGAAGATTCAGGCTTGCATTACTTCAGCTCGGTAACTTCACATGTATCGAGTGCTAAGAGCTTTCGCTCCTCTTAACAGGACTGCTTCACTGACGCTGCTGCTTTATTGAACTCGTCCACAAGGGGTGATACGGTTTATTTAATTTGCAGCCAGAAGAGCAGCTGCTCCTCCTCAGAAAAGAGAGCTGTGGTGTATAATTACAAAAGCTGTTATTGAGCAGAACTGTAAATCCTAACTGATCCAGAATGTTCTAATTTCTTGTGTTTTTTGGCAAACATAATTCAAAGTGATAGAAAAAAATATGCTTACTGGACACTTTACTAGTGCCAAGTTGTTGTCAGAAATGCCTTAATGGCCTGTGGCATATATTCAGCAAACTACCATCAGAATGTGACAGCGGATATTGAGACTCATCAGACCAGGAAACGTTTTTCCAACCTTCAATGGTGACAATTATCCCATTTTGGTGCGCTCAGTTTTCTGTTAAGCTGACAGATATGGAAACCAGTGCGGTCTTCTGCTTTTGCAGCCCAGCTGCTTCAAGGTTCCCCATCTAACCTTCCATTCAGAAATACTCTTCTGCATACCTTGGTTGTTACAAGCTTTTATTTGAGTTACTGTTGCCTTCCTATCAGCTCGAAGCAATCTGGCCATTTTCCTCTTTGACCCTTGCCATTCACTGAATGTTTTCTGTGTTCTGGGCCATTCTTTGTAAACCTGGGGATGATTGTGTGGGAAAATCCCTGGAGATCAGCAGTTTCTGAAATACTCGCACCAGCCTGTCTACCAACAACAATACCACATTAATAATAACTAAATAACATTTCTTCCCAATTTTGATACTCAATTGCAGCAGGTCATCTTGTCTACAGACATAAATGAGTTGCTGCCATGTGACTGAGTGATTAGATATTTGCATTAATGAACAGCTAAACATGTGTTTCTAATAAAATGGCCAGTGAGTATGCATGTTAATGTAAAATAAAGGTTTTAAACAAAACATTTATTTATAATAAGAACTGGATTGTAATTATCCGTGAAATATGCATAAAAAAGACCAGTAAATAATAATACAAATGATAAGGCAGGACTTGAACTAACTGTGGGGGAAACACACACACACACACACACACACACACACACACACACACACACACACACACAAACATTAGTATGGATCATTATTGGACACACTGCTCTGGGTGGAAATAATCATGAAAATAAATAAAAGAAGAAAAAATCAAAGCTAACCCAC